CTGGCTATTAAAAAAACAGGTAAAGTGACTATATATCAGATCTTAAAATGGAACCATGACTTGAAAAAAATGAGAAAGTGGTCCCATTTGGTCCCATTTAGTCCCATTCTTGGCATAAAGTTACTATTTTTAGACATTTTAAGGTTTTTTTTAGACTATTTTTAATTTTTTAAAAAGTAACGCTTTTTGGTAACACTCAAATGAGATTTAAAGTCATTTAAAGCAATAAAAATAATTTAAATTGAGAAGTGGAAATCATGGTCTCATTTGAAAAATGTGACAAGAGTAGACAGTAAGTCCCACTGGGACAGTATGAAACTACTATCTAATGTTAAAACCGTGTAATGGGATCAGTCGAATTGGTAATGAGACTATCAAAAAATCTGGTCCTGGTCCCAGACACGGTCACACGGTCAGTCTAATTTCCTCCTCTTCATATTCAGATAATTCTGAATTTAGCCATTTTCTTATAGCTGCTTGAGTTTCTGATAGAAAGTCTATTAAGTATTTAATTCCTATCTCAGTTGAGAATAAGAATCTCATATTTAATTGATTATATTCTCTACATTGTTTCTATAATTCAAATTGTGATATAAACACTGATAAAGAATCTTAATATCAAGACAAAGAATAATGAGATAACTGATTTTTGAGATGAGAATGAAATGAAAGTAATTACTCAAGTCACTTTTACATTCACTCTGTAAAAGATAATGTTTTTTTAATATTACTTTTTAATAACACTTTTTAATAATACTACTGTTAATTTTGAATAGATTGACTAATAATTTAAATATCACAGATTTGAAACATTGCTAATATAATTTATATCTTCTCTAAATAATAATAATAATTTCATAATATTCAATAAATGAATAAATCAGTCACATCACTGAATATAATACAGAATATTAGAATATAATAAAGTTGAATATATAAGATAACTATTCAAACTCTTTGATTGTATCAGATGATTGATTATTGAGTGTAATACTCTGATTAAGAAAAGATTCAAATATTAAAACTTTCTGATATAAAGTAATCTCAGTTGAAATATATAATTGATTTACTGTTTCAGTTTTATAAGATAACTAAGATTGTTTCAATTACTTATATATCAATACTGCAGTCAGTCTGATAAATGTATAACAGTTTATTTACTCATCTTAAGAAGTCATTGAATCACTTAAAAAGAAATTCAGTCTGAGATAATACTATAGCACAGACTATTATTACTGTAAGAGATAAACTGATATATTACTACAGTAAAACTGAACAATCTTTTACAGAGTACTATACTGTAGCAGCTCTACTAGATTTCTCTCATTAAATTAATATCTAGACTTCTCAAGATTGAACAGAGAAGAAATGAGACTTATATATTAAAATAATCTAAGACTACTATAATATTAACTATCAGAGATTTGAACAAGTAGATGTTACAGATGTAAAGATAGTAAAATACAATTCTCTAGTAAGTAACAATCTTTGATAACACTGTATATTATATAGAACTATAATACTAACTTTGAAACAGAACTTATATACATTGATTATAACTGAAAATCAGGTAAAACTACATGTTTATAAAACTGAATTTGACTGCTATCTTCAAGCTGATTTAATGAATTTACACATCAAATCAATTCTTGAGTTATGAAAAATTATTGAGAGTATATATTCAACTATTACACTGATAATATATAATATTCTAATAATTTTATTAGCAGAGATGAAAATGAAGTGAAACTTTAACTTAAGCTGAGATATTTATCACTATCACTGAGAACAATTATAAGAAGAAATGATTAAGAAACTCATAATAATAAAATATGAAATTATCAGACAGTTTAATATCTCTGATCACAGTATATCAGAGAAGTGTAGTTTTTATAAGAAAGTGAAGAATAAACTTAGACAAGAATGTATTTAGTTATTTCATAAGTATTATTAATAATTATTATCAAATTCTGATTATATAAGCAATCACTGAATGAACTGAATGAGACTGAATTTAATTTTCAGTCTCAGTCTCATTCTGATTTTGAAAGAATAATCATCTTTTACTATTTATTCTGAGAAATTACACTCATTTCACTATTCTTGAATTAAATCTGGTTATTTTTCACATCATTTCTGAAAGAAATTATTCATTTGCAGATTTTTTTGATGCTTGATTCTGATGAGACTCACATCAAGAAATGTATGAAATCAGATTAAATGAAACTAAATATAAAATTCATGATTTCAGCGGCCAGTCTAGACATAGCTATATTATTCATTGAATGTGTGATATCTGCAGAATCAGATTCAGAAAAAGTATAATTATATAAATATCTTATACATCTAAGGTATCAGAACTCTTAAGTCTTTTACTGATATTCTCTTATAAGATCTTATTCTCTTCATGAGATCTTGTTACAGAGTCAGAGTGACTGATAAGTAAGCTTCTATTTAAAGACTCAGTGTCTGCTTCACTAATTATTCATTTTTCTATTTCTTATATATTGTTATTTATTCAGATATCTAATTAATAAGTAATCATTTCTGACAAGAAGATGATGAATGTTTTTCAAGTGTAAAAGGCCTACACTGAATAGTTCAGTATAACATATAGATCTTATATAACAAAAGTGGAAAATATTAGAGAAGAAATAAAAAGAGAAAGTGTGAGAATCAGTGATCAGAGTGAATATTTATACCTGTACATAGTAAAGCTTTGAGATAAAAGAATAGAAATTTCAGAGTGAAAGAATAGAAATTTCATGACTTTTTTCAGCTGAGAATCAGTGACTGAGAATTGAAGTCTTGACAGAAATCTATAAAGTGTAATAAAATAATCTATATAGTTGATCAGGCGCAGTCTGTCACATACTATTACAAACAGTTCAGTATCAATAACTTCGGATTCACAGTCTAAATTCCAGAAATCTGAGATAAAATTAATATTTTTCTCAGTATAAGAAATGCCTGTATCTAATCTGTTCAAATTCTCATTTTTTGAGCCATCTGAGTAAATCAGAATAGAGTCTTTTATATTAATTATAAAGATCTTCTTTCAATACTGTTCATATTCTCTCTCTGTAGATAGTTCACATCTTTGCAAGTCTATGAGAGATTCAAGCTTTTCTCTTCAGAGAGATATCTTCTCATAATCAACTTTCTTAACATTTAATGAAGAAAATTGATTTTTAATCAGTGAATATAATCTGTATATTTGAGAGAGCATTTCCTTTGCAGATTTACATAATATTAAAGAAATTAAAGAATATACAGTATTTAATAACTGTAATATTCTAATAAGAGAGAATAAGTATTAAGAGTATAAGAATTTAGTATAGTTAATAAATTATTGAGATATAAAAAAAAATACTACTCTTATAGAAAAGCTTTCACTATACTTTATAATTAGTATTAAGAGATTTCTTTAACAGCTCTTATATATATCTGATACAGAAGATTCAAGATTTATATACAATTTACTCAGTATTATTTAATAATCTGCTGAGAATAAATAAAGAAGCTGAAGATAAGAATAATAATTCACTAAACTATACTATTAAGTTAAAGTTAATAAAAGATTATATTACTCTGAAGATTTTAAATCATTTATTATTAAATAAAATATCATAGAAAGTTAGTATATAATTTACAAATCTCTTTAAGCTTAAATTATTTTATTCATTTCTTAATAAGTTATGAGAATTTTATAATACTGATTCAAATAAACTCTCAGTTTTAAAATTAGATCACTGTTTAATACTTTTTTATAATAAGTTAATATTCTCAGTTTAATATATCTAATTAATTAATTAATTAATTAATTAATCAATTAATCAGTTATTAACTTACTAACATATAAATCAGAGATTATATTCACTGAGTCTCTCTTATAAAAGAGAATATTATTTAATATCAGAGAGCAGAGCTTAATTAGATTATAATTACATTTATTTATAAAATAAGACAAGTTAAGTAAATTTTCTTTCTACTTATTTCTCTATATTATATTATACATAATTAGACTGGCTATCAGAACTATAAATTTCATATTTAATCTTATTTAATCTAATCTTATACATTTCTTAATGTGAATTCTACTGAGACTAATTATTAAAAAAACATACAAAGTAACTATTTATCAGATCTTAAAATAAGATCATAACTTAGAAAAAATAAGAAAGTGATTTCATTTAATTTCATTTAGTTTTATTATTAGTATAAAGTTACTATTTTTAAACATTTTAAGGTTTTTTTTAGACTATTTTTAATTTTTTAGAAAGTATTGCTTTTTGATAACACTTAAATGAGATTTAAAGTCATTTAAAGCAATAAAAAGAATTTAAATTAAGAAGTGAAAATTATAATCTTATTTAAAAAATGTAATAAGAGTAGATAGTAAGTCTCACTGAGATAGTATAAAACTACTATCTAATCTTAAAATTATATAATAAGATTTATTAAATTAATAATAAAATTATTAAATATTCTGATTATGATCTCAGACACAGTTACATACTCAGTCTATATATAATTATTTACTGAATCTGCTAATTTTATAAGAGAATTCTGATAATTACACTATTATCAGACTATCAGTAGTTTAAAAAATTATGTTATATAATAGTCTGATACAGAATAGTAATAAAAATAATAATTATTTAGTAAATAAGTCTCAGATAATAAGATATTTATATTATAATTGAAATATCTCATTTCTTTAAATAAAATAGATAGTTAATAAATAGCAGCTGTTATACTGAGTAATAGATAACTAGCTTAATAGTATTAATTTCACTGATAGAACAGTATACAGTATCTTATAGTATCTTAGTAGTAGTCTGATAATAACATCTTTTAATTACACAGTTACTAAATAGGGTTATTATGATGTTAGAAAGCTCTGTGCTATTTCAACACTATCTTGATATTTAATATTCAGTGATGTGTTGCTGAATATAATGATGGAACATGTGTTATGATCGGTGACACGTGACACAGGTGTAATCACCGTAAATTAACCCTACGTTCTTCCTGTATGGAAGTTGGCGGGTCACGGGACGGGGTCTTCGTCGTCTCACTATTCCTCAGTCACTCACAACTGGAGTATTGTACAGCCCGCATCCGCAAAGTAACCACCACAATTAAACACTCCCACCAGCCTTACATTTCGAGGCTCAGCATGGGTACTCTTGCTATTAATGGCCTGGAAACGCTTCTCCAGAGTCTCGAGGTGGAGATACCTGTCCCAACATTTCCCACCGCGAACAATGTCGCTAATCCGGTCGACGTATATCGCTGCTATGTTGCTAAGGTCGTAAAGCAAGTGGTCAAATGTGACGAGGACACTGCATATAATGCCATCCAACGAACACAGGTGCTGGCCCATGGCGATGTGATGGTGGTGGTTGCGCGCCTTCGTCTCAAAGGAGCCAATGTAGACCAGGTTGCCCTTGACTTATCATCCAAGGTGATATATTCTTTGCATTTCCGAATCTCCTGACATTGAAATCTTTACTAGAAACTAATATTCAGCTCTAGCTCTGTGGCATTTCGCTTATTTCCAACCCTGTACCTAAGGGTGTCTTCATTCCTATCTTTTTTAGTGCCACGACTTTACCCCGCCTAATTTTACCGTACATCTTCGATCGACGACAATTGTATGGCCACGACAAAATTGCTGGTCTGAAACAACCTGAGAATGAGGCTGCTGGCAAGAAGAAAGTAATCGTGGAGTTTTCTTCGCCCAATATCGCCAAGGAGTTCCATGCCGGGCATCTCCGTAGTACAATAATTGGGGCTTATATTGCGAACCTCTACGAGAGTATGGGCTGGGACGTAGTCAAAATAAATTATCTGGGTGACTGGGGGAAGCAGTTCGGCTTGCTTGCCGTGGGTTGGCAGAAATTTGGATCCGAAGAACTGTTCCAAAAGGAACCCTTGAAGCATTTACTAGACGTTTATGCAAAGATCAATACTTTGTTCAAACCAGAGCAGGAGGCCAGCAAGAACGCTAGGGATAACGGCCAGGATACCTCGGAGATAGAGAACAAAGGACTTTACGCCGAGCGAAACGCCTTTTTCAAGAAAATGGAGGATGGAGATCCAGATGCACTCAGCTTGTGGAGGCGGTTCCGTGACATCAGTATCGAGAGGTACATCCGTACCTACGCGCGCTTGAACATTGCTTTCGACGAATACTCCGGAGAATCGACCGTTCGGCCGGAAACAATTGAGAGCGTCGAAAAAATGCTGAAGGAGAAAGGTATTTACGAAGAGAATGAGGGGTCATGGGTCATAGATTTCAAGAAGCACGGCGCCCGCAAGCTCGGTACTGCCGTTGTCAGGAATCGAGGCGGAACGACGACCTATCTTCTTCGAGACATCGCTGCTGTGCTAGAGCGGGTGGGCAAGTACAAATTTGACAAAATGATCTATGTCGTTTCCGCTGAGCAAGACTCGTACTTTCAGCGTGTCTTCAAGACGATTGAGATTATGGGCTACCCTGATATTGCGACTAAACTTGTCCATGTCAATTTCGGGAAAGTTCAGGGAATGTCGTCGAGGCTCGGAACGGTGAAGCTGCTGAGCGACATATTGGATGAGTGTGGCAACGCCATGCACGAAGTTATGCGGGCCAACGAAGCAAAGTACGCTCAAGTTCCGGACCCAAAAGCAGTGGCAGATGTCGTTGGTATCACAGCAGTTATGGCGCAGGATATGAGTGGGAAAAGAATCAACAATTACGCTTTTGATATTACCAGAATGACTTCCTTTGAAGGCGATACAGGCCCTTACCTCCAATATTCGCATGCAAGGCTCTGTTCGATCAGA